TGGAGTAAGGAGGAGAGATCGTATCTCACCTTGCTGCCTCTGGTTGCCTCAATGTTCCTTTCATACAAATTTCTCTGTAATTTTATCATAAATAAATATATAGTAATAAATATCTGTACACAATTTGAATCAGCGTGGAAGACGCAATTCTCCCTATACATAGTCGGTTGCATATACTCTATCGCTAATTTTAATATTAATCGGTCTAATTTTTTGTTTGCCTTAAGAAGCTAATTAATTCATTAGTAAAAATTGTACGTACCTACTATTGGAGCTTTTAAACAAATTAACTAATTTAATTAACTTTTTTATTATCTAAAAAGTTGCCGCTTAATTGAATCTTGAATAGTAACTAGATTTCCTTTACAAGGCGTATCTTTAACCATTATTTTAAAAAAATTCGTATGATTATTTAATAATATATATTGTTGATTGTTTTATTGTTTTTACAATAAAGGTTTATTATTATTTTATACAAAAAATTTTAGAACTAAATTTATCTGTTCTTCAAAAATGTCGCAACATCTTGGATTCATCAAAGATAAAATTCCGGTCTAGACAGCAGCAGTTTACAGCACTGTATGCATATGCGGTAAAGAATACATTTGAGGGACAGGACGAGAAACATGAAGTAGCTAAGAATACATGAAAGAGCCTAGAGACTACGACAAATAAACTCGTCAGCAGTTGCCAAACACAACCAGTACAAAGGAAATCAAATCTTATTTGATAAAACTAAAATTCTAACATGTAATCAATTCTTCTACCATACATAGAAAACTATAAACAACCAAAGAATCTAAAACTCACCTTTCTTCACCTTTACCAATTTGGGAATCAGTCATTTATCACAATGAAAATATACTTCCTTTAGCTCCGTCCCCTCAAACTGGATATAAGCAGGTACAGAGTAGAATGCGAGCCAATTCCAGTCAAACGCTGAAGAAGCCGACAGGATGATTGGCGAAATGTCAAGTTCGATTTGTCAACAACCGGCGTAGGAAGAGTCCAGATGATTTTTAAATATGGTTTTTTTGAAAAATTGAAAGTACATGTGCTTCCTGTTAAAATAAGCAATGCGACAACCATGTCCGGTATGCCACAATATAGAAAATTTTTTAACGCGACTTAAATATAATCTCAGCTTTTCAATTTTTTTCTTATTTTATATGCTTCAAGTAGCGGTCTAGACTTAATGTACGCCCCATCCCAAGAGCGGAATATTATTTTATGCAAAGTCGCTAAATAGAATATTCAAAGCGGTCGCTTAAAGTTGAAAATTGTTTTGAATTCAGTCCGAAGCAATCCATGAATTTAGAAATGTTAATTAAATTAATTTTGGAGAAAATTTCAGAATGAAATTGAATTCGAAAGCGATATTTTCCTTGGAATTTTATCCTATGTCCCAATTATCTTCTGGTACTTATCATGGTCTTTCTAATCCTGTCTATTCATTTTCCTGGTAGTCTTCCTCTTCTCCTGTTTGTTGGCTTATATTCCATCACTAACTTAGGACATCTTTCAAGGTTCATCCTCCATACCACAATAGCTGTTTCTACTGTATCTGCACAAGCACCCGTTTGTGTTTTTATTTCCTCATTACTCCTCATATGTTCCATTCTTGTTCTACGTTCTAGACGTTTTACACTATATTATCACTTTGTCTTGTTTTCGGATTTGCCAGCACTCACTCCCATATATCAGAATTGCTTCTACAATGGAATGGTCGATAGTCATTGTTGTTGTTTACTGTATTCCGATATTGTAGTTTCTGGTTATTTGAACTGCTTACATTTTTAGTTTAGTTTTTAGTACTACGTCTTCTATTTCTCTTACTTTTAGATACAGAGCTTTTTCCATGTTCATATTTAAACGTCATTGTTCCATTCCATTAGTTTCCTCAGCATGTAATGTGCATCCAGTTGATAGTGCCCCATTGTCAGAAAGACGTTTGAGATAATATTTTCCCAATTTTGCTGCACTCTAATAATTCACTTGTAGGTTATATATTCACTTATAGGTTATGTATGGCTTTCACATATACCATATTTAGGTCTATCTTCGTCAATGTTTCAAAAAGTTGGGTTTGATTATATCGTAGATTTTTTTCAACTTCACGAACAGGAAGCGGGTAAACAGGTTTCCGGATCTTCTTCGCATCATCATTTGATGCAGAAAAAAAATTGTCAAGGCATTCTGGCTTGGAAGCCACTTTTCACTTCCATTTCAGTAACATTGCTTTCTACTCTTTCTTTGAGTATTCTGCTGTACAATCTATACATCGAATTTGTGACGCTGTAATTATTACGGAGCTTGTTGTCTCCTTTTTATATGCACAGCGTTAACCTGTCAAACGTCTAAGAGCAATATTTCAGGTTAAAAGAAGACTTTATTCCCATAAACATACGAGGTGGGTTCAAAAAGTAAGGTGACTTTTGTAATTGGGCGGATTACGTACATTCGATTTTTTTTGTTATGTTGGTACACATATCCCTAACATACGTTCGCAGTTTCAGTCAGATTATACGTTAATTTTTTTTGTGAGACAGAATCGTATTGCCTGCTCGGCGATTTTCTGCTATCCAAAAAAATAGAACAAGGAATTTGACATTGACAAAGGCATATGGTTAATCTACGTGCAGCAGCAAAATTTGTTCCTACTTAATTTCTTACAAAAGTACCGTCGAAGGAACATTGCTCAAGAGCTGTGTATGGTTATGATGTGGATACCAAAGCCCAATCGTCCCAATGGAAGAACCCAGAATCGCCAAGACCGAAAAAAGCACATCAAGTTCGATAAAATGTCAAGGTTTTGCGTACTATTTTCTGGGATTATCGGGGTGTAGCACATCAAGAGTTCTTACCACAAGATCGTACGGTCAATAAAGAGTATTACCTCGAAGTTATGCGTTGTTTGCGAAGAGTAATACTAAGAAAATATTGGGAATTGTGGGAAAATAATTAATGAATTTTGCATCACGATAATGCACCTGTTCACTCTTCATTGATGAGTGTCTAACTTTCTCACAAAAAACAAAGCTACATCATGCCTTAGACAACATATTCACCGGATATAACCCCTTGCGACTTTTTTTTCTTCCCAAAACTCAAGAAACCCATGACAGGAAGGTTTGGAACGATTGAGGAGATAAATAAAACATAGCTGGAAGAACTCAAAGCTTCGAATATTGGAAAAAATCTTGGCACAATTGATATTATATCGGAGGGGGATTACTTTGAAGGGGGCAATATTAATTTTGTTAAACAAATAAATACTTTTTGATAAAACTTAAAAGTCACCTTACTTTTTGAATACACATCGTATGTCCTAAGTGGATTTGTTTTGGAGATACAGGGTTTTAATAATTGTTAAATATTTTATAATTTTAATTAAATTTGACATAATCGCTTGCGGAAATAATGGGTTTTTTGTAATAATACTTTTATAAAAATTATTTATTCCAGAGGGTTATTAAATTAATTGTTAGGAAATATTATTGTACGGCAGTACTCTTTTGTTTTTTTTTTTCGCAACCTGCTTTGTTTTTAAAAAGAAAAACTGATTTCCCTGCATGTTCCTGGGTATTGAAAATCGGAGCAAAAATTTTTTTCATCTTTACTAACATGTGCACTATGCTAAAGCAAATAGAAGTTGGGTGCCCTGTTTTGCAACAGAAAAAAAATCATTTAAATAAAAATCTGGTCAAAAATATCAAGCAATCTAGACAACAATAATTATTATATTAGTAATTGAGAATATTTTTGTGTCAATATTTTATAATATATAATATTTAGCAGCGCGTCACATGTTAATAGGTTAATTTAAATTTCAATTCATTTTAAGTAAGTTTATGCATAATTTTTGGAATCATCGAAGTATATATACAATGCAGCTGAATATGCCGATTTTGAGTGGACACCCAACATTTTATTTATTTTAACGTAGTAAAAATTAAATATTTTTTGCTTGGATTTTTAGTTTGTCAAGAAACATGTACGGAAACTGTTTTTATTTAATTTTAGAGAAAATTAAACATACAAAAAAACAGTAGCATACGTTGAATTTTCCTACAAATATCCCCCCAAGTCACTGGAGTTCACACTTTTATTCCAATTGAACCGCAAATAATTAATAAAATCCTGATTTTCTATAGAAACATTGACGCCCTATATCTCGAAAATAAATCAAGTTGTTATAATTACATTTTTGTCAGTAAAGAATATGGCGCATCTAAATGAAACCAAGAGAATTGAAATTTTAATTTTTCTTGAATTCGGAGACAAAACTAGAACTCAGGAAGTTTGTAATTTGTTTAACGCAAAATATCCAGAAAGTCCCATTACAGACAGTAAAATTGGTCTAAAATTTATGAGACAGGGCACGTCAAAGAAATTATTTTATTAGGTGTTGAAAATGCCAACTATTAACATCTTGACAATACGCTAATCAGTTTAAAAAATTTTCTCCGAATAATTTCATTAATTCTAGAGTAGAAATTAGAAGTATCGGATTCTAGTAAGATTTTGATCGAAGAAAAAAGGTCCAACAATTTTATTGTTCAAAATTCCTGTCAATACCTTCAATTTTGTTTATTTACCGTATCATTTAACAAAACGTAGCTTCATTCCTACCTGACCTACAGTACCTGACGATAAAAAAATGGATTTAAGTTTCACATATACATTATAATTCTACAAAATTGAAAAAAGTAACTTAGTATCAACATCTACTTTTTCACTTTTTGGCCCACTCTGTATATTTTATGTTAACTGCAAAATATGCACAAGAAAAAAATTGTGTGCGAGCATTTTTCTGTTTTTTCCAAATTTTACCCGTTCGCTGTATTTATTTTATATAGTAATTAAATTACATATGCCTCTGTTTCTTCCTTTAATTTGCTGTGTTTTTGTTTGTGTAAGTTTTGCCAATAAGAAATAGGGAATATTGTTTTATTGGACAATACAAACCATAGTTCATTATTAAGTTTTATTCGTTACAGGTCGAACTAGAGAACTGGGTGAACAGTATTCACAGTGCATGTGCTGCCGCATTCGCCAGACACAGGGGCAAAACCGGAACCCTACATCTCTTGCAGGAAGAAATTTTTCGATTGGAAAAAGCCATAGAAACCGTAAGTCCCAAAAGATAATTATTTAGTAAAAATATACAATTTTTGTTTATAATTTCCGTATAAGAGAATTAATTGTATACAAAATAGACATCAGTTGCGGGTAATAACGCAACATGGTAACATGGCAACATCGCCATATGCAACGACTTTTATTAGCTATTGGCAGTTGTTTCTAGTGTTAGTAATTTGTGTGTTTGCGGCATATTATCTAATTTTGGCAATGTTTTGTATAATTCGACAACCAATTGTTTAAGTCTGTAATGGAAACTCAAGATAATTACGATTACGAATAAGGATACGATTTTTATATATAAAACTGTCGTCTATGGCATTTTTGTAGCTTTTTTTAGAACAAAACCAATTTAAAAAAAATTATGTAATTAGCAAAAATGAATATAAAGTATAATTTACTTTTAAATGAGGAAGAAGCTGTGGGAGAGTCTCGTTTTGTATGTTATTAACTATTAAGATATTGCTTACTTTTCTTGCCTTGATACATTGACAAGGAGTAGGCTCCAAAAAGTTCAAAGTTCATGGTGTTGATTTATTTACAGGCGCCATAAATATGATAAAGTATCAGCGAAAATAAATTTTGTCCACCACATACTTACTTTCAGGTTTAGGCACCATAATGCGAATTAGAGATGTTTGGGAGAAATTTAGTTTATAATAAAGCTGTTTTTCCCCTCCAAAATTTAAAAAATATTTGGAATTTGCTTTTTGTTTAGACAACGTTTCGCACAAATGTTTAACTACCAGTTATCAAGTGCGTTAATTAATTAGTTCTAAGGATTATATACTAGACTACAGCGTTCAACCGCGACGGAGTTGGGTGTAATCAAGCGTGAGGTTGATCCGTTATGATACCAACGCTGCTGCATTCTATTAAGGGTTGGCAGATCTCAGGTATTTCCACGCTTGGATTGCGAAAGACGTTTCGATTGTTTTTAATGAACACTGCTTTCTTAAATTTGCACTTTTTCCAATACGATTCCCCATGTACAACCCCAGCATCATTTGATGTGATTTGTGGTGTTTTGGTCCATCCAGGTTTCGCGATTCCTAACCTTTTGCATTTTACCCCTCAGGTTTTTTTTTTGTTTCTCTTTCTCAACGCAAACATTAATAAACGGTCGCCATCGTCACGCCATCATTTTGGAGGTCATACGATAGGTCTTCTTCCGTGTGGGTGGGTTGTTGTTACGTAATATTTTGGTTATTCTATTGGTAGACATTTTGTTTACATGTAGCTTTCTCACAATGTCATCTCTCCCCCTTATATCCGTATTTTTTTTCTGTCGCTCAGTGTGTATCACGATATGGTTCTTAGAGTTTTCATCTAAGTTGTTCTTAGCATCCTCTTTGTTACCGATGTTTGCGCTCTTGTCTCTGCTCCATATGCCCATAATAGGACGCACGCTTGGCTTGTAGATTCTGGACTTGTATCGCATGCTGAGGTGTTAATTGTTCCGTATTGTATGGTTAAAATGCCCGATATTGTAGCTGCTTGGTTTGCTTGTCTCTTCAGTTCGTCTTTCAGAAGTCCTGCGCTTATATCTTCCATCCAAGATATTCTAATCATATTATTTACTCGATGATAGTATTTTCTTTTACTAGCTTACATCTCGGAAATTTCTGAGTTGGTATTTCAAACGGCATTTTGTCTTTGAGAGATTGAAGGTGATCAGAGATTTTTGGACAAGTATTAAATCTGGTTCTAACGTTATATTTATTAAGAATTGTTGATATGTGGTCAGTGATGTTTTCAAGTTAAGGCATGACCACAGTGGTAAATCTGGTGTTGCTTTCGGACTCATTTTCTTCAGAAGGTTGTGGTGAAGTGCATTTTGTCATGGAACACTTAATATCTCTAATGTGGAAATTATGTAAGATTTTTTAATTTGAGTTCAGTGACATGGATTTTGTAAACAAGAAAGTTGATAACCTATGATTTTTGGTTTGAATGGTGATGTGACAATGCAAGGTATGATCCAATGGTAGGTCTGATACTTTCTTAATAAAACTTTCCAAGTATGGGGGATTATTATTAGTTTATAATTCAATGGAGTTTAAATGAATGAAAAATGAAAATCTTGGCGGGATTCTTGACCACAAAGCCAATTAACAAAAATCAAAAATCAAAGTAGCGTTTCCATACTTTTGCTTTTAGATGGAAGGCACCGTAGCATTTCCTATATCTTCTTTTAGAGATTATCTGCGTGGTTCAGTTTCAGTTGGGATAAGGTTTTAGAGATTTTTGAGTTATGCGTTCAGGTTTTGAAATTTTACATTTTTTTTAAGAATTTTTGCGATTTCAAAACAAATTTCTATAGCTGTTTGAGATGGCAATTTGTTTAGAGTAGGACAAAGTTGGAATCTTTTGCAACAACTGATTTTTCCGTCTCAGAAGGTTGGTGCTATGATACATTTACATACAGTGGTTCGTAGTCGACAAGAACTTGGTGAATTCAGTAGTGTTGACGTTAGTTTTTTCATTTTTTTTTATTCTGGGTAGATGACTAACCTAGATTTTCATACCTTGTCATTAATCATATTTGGATAGAAACAAGATGGAAGCAATTTCGATATGTAGAAACAGAAGAGTCTTATTAATTTGGTCTATTTTCTTCTCAAAGTAACTCAAAAATAGAGTTTCGAAAAGTTTTATAAGTTTATATTTTAAGGAAATTAGGGATAAAGTTATGGACTCAACAACGCAACAAAAAGGTCGGTATGCAGAGTAATGTTACCATAAGGGCTTGTTAATTTTTTAAGGAAATTTCCACAATTTACTGTAATAGTAGTGTAATAATGTGATGCTTATTAGTTGTATAGTTTCATGCCTGTAAAATCTGCGCAATTTAATTCTCAGAAATTTAGAAACATCTCTCTTACAACACTCAATGACCGCTGCCGAAAGCTACCATCCGCAGGAGTTTCTATATTTAAATTATTCTATTTTTGTCCATACCTCAAGGGATAACCCGAGGGACTTTGTTCCCGGACAAAAATCGTCATTCTTCAAGTTAAAATTGTTTCGAAAGCAATTCGACGGTATATAATAAAAGCACAACGTATAATCCCGTGTAACAAAAGGCATGCGTTAGAAGTTTATAACGGTATTTGACAGACCAAGTTGTGTTGGAGTTGGCACAATAAAGTTTTAATGGAAAAGAAAGTCGCTCGCAGTCAAAGCTTACGTTCGCTAAATATTGTTTTCGGGAAATATAATTTAATTTTCCGCCCGCGTTTAGTGGCAAGGCACTTACGAAAATATCAAAAGTTTGATTTGCGTTCCGCTTCTGAACTTGTAATTATTGCCACGTGCTTATAAACTCTATGCTGTTATGTAGAACGTTGTTTTTTCAATCTTATTGTAATAATTTTAAAATTTTGGAATGTCAAAAAGACAAAGGAAAACTTTTTAACTCGTGTTCAATGTTGACAAGCTGTTAATTCTCTTTCCCTCTCTCTCCGATGTATTTTTTAATAACTAACTAACATAACTAACGTAAGCAAAAGAGCTGACCAACATCGGACCACGGTGAAATAATCACTGCCTTGAGTTGTAGGTTTCCTTCCGCAATTTTATGTTTCTCCCATCTAGTTCAGCTCTCTTGTGGGGTCTGTCGATGGAATGTTCTTGATAATCTAAAGTCCTACAATATCGGCATATAGTTTTGAGTTGCGGACCTCTAATACAATACATGAAAACAATACATGCTCAGCCGTTTCCTCAGCCTCCAAGCACATCCTGCAGTTATGATCGTGGTGCGGTGAGGTTGCAGTGTCCCTATCGGGAGTTTCAAGTGTTTCCTGCTAATGCTTAACGGTGCGTTTCTCCTGGGACATTCTCGCAGTGTCTTCGAATCTATTTATTTATTTATATATTTATTTATTGCCGATTTTCTTCAGGCCATGGTGTCATGTTAGAGTTATCTTATCTTTGGTTTCCTAATATGGATAAAGTCTCTTGGCAGTTCCTTACGGAGGAGCATCCAAACGATTTCAGCATATTCAATGCTACCTGATGTTTCGCAGTGTGCAAATTGCTTTTCTACCAGCATTCTTGCACAAAGTTTATTCTGAACCCACTCTTCCTTGCTTGGCAGGTTTACTCCTTAGGGAAAGTTCGACGTCGATATAGGGTGTTCCGCAAGCTGATAATAGGACTTTTCAGACTTTAATTACAGGCTTATCGTAAATGTATGCTTGATGTCGAATAAAGAAATAACCCAGCGAGCCAGCAAGATATGTATATGGTGGTGCAGTAGCCTGTGGATGTTTCTTTGAAAAATTAGGAAGTCAGTTGTGCATTTTTTTCAAGGGACATTCTTTCAGTGTTTTCGAATGGACTAGCCCTGGTAATCGTAGGCAATGTAGGCGACCTTTGTCTTACCTCCAGGCGTCTATTGCGTTTATTGCCGATTGATAAATGCCAACATCAGTCGCGATCCTATCAGTGATTTTTTTTCCCACCATAGTCATAGCCTTATTTAGACTGCCTAACAAGGATAAAACCTCTTGGTAGCTTCAAACGAATTTGGAAGAGCATCCATGCGATTTCAGTTTCCTCAATGCTGCCTGAGGCATTCAAAGCTCTATTGCTGCTGCTTGGGCTATGAGGAGATATGTACTAGGACCGACCTTTATCTATGTTTTTGGATGGTCTCCAACACCTTTGTTGGTATTGGAACCATCTGCGAACTTTCCCCATTACGCCAGTTTTCTTGAAAGGGTAGGTTCGACGTAGGTGCAGTACTGTTTCAAGCGAATGGACCAAAACGTTAAAAAACTATTTCAGGCACAAATTCTGCCGACCTTGCCTTGCCGACTACACTGACAAGATTAAAGAAGGGCTTCTTTCTTTACGTCCCTTTTCTTTGAGGAGTGGATCGTTTTGTTCATCCCCAATTTATCTCGATGTAAGGTTTTCCGCACAGTATAAAGGCTGATAACGGGATTTCCAGACTTTAATGAACTGATTAATTGATACTGATTATAGTCACTTAGTTGTTAGATTGTGATTAATGAAACTAAAATTACATTTTTTACAAAAGAAAAATATTTCTTCATTTTTATGTCTACTTATATTCGAAACTGGAAGAGTGCAAGCTTCTCAAATAATTGGCAACTTAAAACATCTGCAATATTGTTAATATGAGAGAATACTTAATTTGTTGTTTTAATGGAAATAAAATGGCGCATTTAAAACTTTAATTGAGAGCTTTGTTTTTTTAAGACAGGATAAGGATATCATAAAATATTTAATAATAACAGAGCCGTATTACCAAGAGATTAATTTGGAGAATTAAATAAAATAAAATAAAATTCAACCATTATAGAAATCAACTATAAAATATTATAGAAAAAATATCAGGTTTGCATTTAAAGTGCTTACAAAACAAAACTTTGACAAAATTTTTCAATTTTTCCTCGTAGCTTAGAAACTAGCCTTATTCGAAATCTGATGTATCGTTGGACAGTAATGTGCACGGCACGGCACGGCATCTTTGTATTTTCAAATATTCTAAAATTTAATGTTATCTAATCTAAAATTGGACAACAGAAATATCTTTCGAAGATTGTCAGCCCCCATAAAATTAAAAATGATATTCTAAGCCTATTGCGAACCTAATCGTAAGCAAATTTTCAAATCCATTAAGTGATTGAAAAATGCAAATAAAGATTGTTTTTCTATTTTCCAAATATTCGAATTACTAAATGAAGGACGAGCATCGTAGGTCAGATTGATCAGCGTTTATTATGCCGTTCGCTTGCCAAAAACGAAATTATGCCGAAACGGCTATGACGCCCCGCAATTTCAATTTGTTAATTTCCCTTCGACGTCATGGACAAAACTCATTACGCCAACATTAATACAAAATTGTGCCCACGCACATTTCGCAAATACTTGCTAACGCCAATTACAAAACTTGTCCTTAATTAAAGAAGACAACGGGCAATTGGAATTTTCGTTTTGACCTAGAAGTGGCGTTAAAATATACATGGAGTTTCACAGTCTCTATGAGAAATTTTGACAGACTAAAACAGTGTTGTCATGTCGACAATACTCTAACAGCTTTTTACAACATTCTAAACAGCCTTTTTGCCGTTTGTACACCCACTAAAATACCGAGACGAGGGCGATTTTCATCATGGTTTACCAAAGAAATGATCGTAAATATATTTAAGAAGGAAAGGGCTTTCTGCAATTTCAAGCAACACAAATCTTATTATTTGTTAGGGCAGATATACCGTACTGTGCAAGTCAATTAACTTCAAGTGCATTGCCTATAGAGATTCCATCGCTTAATTCCGATCCACTCAATATTTCAAACCTTATCATCCAGAATGTCTGATCAGTAAGCAAATCACTAAAAAACAAGATGACTCCTGGTTCTGACGGCATGGCAAGTTTTGTCGCAAGAGACTGTTCCTACGAAATGTTTGCTGCTTTAGGCCTCCTTTTTAACATGGTTTTTGAAATCGGTGTTAATCCAGAATCTGAGAAAATTGCTAAAGTTTATCTTATTCTCAAATAAATATTACCCAAATTTATCTTTTCTGAAGTTCGAAATAAATTCTCTACGAAACAACATGGTTTTTATGCGAAAAGATCATTGATAATTAACTTATGTTTCCTGTCTTCTTATGTCTGTGACTCCCTTAACAAACAGGGCCAAGCTGGCGTTGACCTTGCACTACTTCTGTTCTGTATGGTCACCAACATATAACAGCCACGCTCGGTCCAATGAGAGTGTGTGGAGAAGGTTACTGGAACATTTAATCCTCAGGGAAGAGGGCTCCTGTTCTGAGAAGGGTCATGATCTTGAAGATTCGGTGTACTGTCTGCCCGTGAGCTTAGAAGTTCATTAATTACGGAATCCATTGTCTGGTTCTTCTGGAACAATTAGGTTTCCATGTGCTGCGGCTTTGCATTATTTGTGTTAACTTCAACAAATTATCATAGCACTCTGATTTATTTTATGATGGTCTGCAGGCGATACTTATCCAAATTCGAGATGCGTCTGGATGTCCGTAGTGAAAAACCTTTTCTTTGCGTTAGTTTTATTCATTTTTTAAGGTATAAAATTATTAGATATAAGATTAGTTTTTACGTCCCCTGTAATTAATATATCATAGGGTTTATATTAAATATTTCCCGTAATTGGGTCATGTTACCTGTTGGAAATAAAGTACTATTAGTATGGTTATATTATTATAAAATAAAAATGACAGAACCATAAAAATTGTCCGAAATGACAAAGAGCTTTTAGGCACACCATGTGTTGACCATAATAAATAAATTCATAATAAAACATCTTATTCTACACCTTATTCCTATATTCGATTATATATATATATGATGACAATATATTCCGGGATATTATCCGTTCGTTTGTTGAACTCTGACTGGAATCCTGCAGACGTTTCGCCAAGATCCATTTGACATCTTCAATGCTCGCGCTCCGAAAACACTTCGAACACTCGGAGCGCGAGCATTGAAGATGCCAAGTGAGATCTTCTCGAAACGTCTGCATGATTCCAGTAGGAGTTCAACAAACAAGCAGATAATATCCCGGAATATATTGTCATCACATTTTTCCATTCGTCTGGTTTATATTTTCTTCAAATTCGCTTGGGTATTCGGTCGCTCGAAAAGAAATAACGTAATTCCTTTAAATATCTATTAACGTTCGATCGTGATTTCGATCTTTTTCAAAATATTATAATTTTGTATAAGTGACATATATAACAATTGTGATGATAAATTTCTTCAGAAACTCTCTCTCTCTCCGGTGGTGCCAAAACAAACTCGTGACTAAAGAGGCGTTAATCAAACATGTTGCATAATATACTATTAATATTGGCAATATGTGCAATGTTACGGTATTATAATAATTGACATGACAAGCAATATGCAGTCAACATTTCTCTACCGGCTGCTGTATATTTATCCCGCTTTCCATTGTGGATTAGTTGACCCCCATCCAGCATACACAAAATTGCGAAGCCTACGCATTAATTAGCGTTAGCGGTAATTATAACGAGAAACGTTGCTCGTATTATTTCCGGCCATTAAAAGCTTACAACAATTTCGAAGTGTTTCATTGCAGCTTCCAAATTATTCTGAATTACAATTACAATTTTTATTACAAATTTAACATAACAGAAGTTGAGAAAATTGTTCTAATGGAGCAAACGAATCTTTCAATATGAATAATTAGACTATGGCATATCTATAGATATTAAAAAAATTTCAGAATTTCTGAGAAATAAATCACAATTTCTGTAAAACAATTCAAAATTTCGGACATAAATACAGGGCATCCAATGCTTTCATTTAATTCTGATTTTTGACTTGACAACCTTATGTGGTTAGTTTTGGTTAGACTTGTTTTTCTAAAATTCTGAACTTTGTCTAAAATTGGCCATCAATCCCAAATTACTGAAGGTCAAATAAGGTTTTGATGTGGAATAAAAACCAATTTCGTTTATCAAATCTGCGAATGGTGAAGCGATACTAAAGTCTTTAGATACGTCTTTCCAGATCTCTATTTTCTGTAGATTTGTTGTATTGTTCGCGTTCCGGCATTTCATAACTTCTTCGCATTTCGTGACTAACCTACTCTTTATTATTCAAATTTGAAGCCCACTTATTATCGTTACAAATCAAATTGTATTTCCCATTGACAAGTATCCACTAGAACTATTTAAAGATTAAAGTATACATCCATTTCATATTAATTTTGCTTAATTACCAATGAATAAGGTAACAAAACACAGTATTTTAGTAAAATTTTCAAACAACCACATACACTTAGGTGCTGTCAATCAGCTGTTCCCTGTTCCTTCTTCTTTTTCTCAATTTCTCAGTTAAACGGGCAGCCAACTTAACCACTCTGTTATTTACCTTTAACAAGAACTCCCATGCTCAATCGCTGTTCACAGCTGAATTACAGTAATGAATGAATCCAAATTAAACGACTTATTTTACAACCGGCCGTTACCAATGTGGAAATAATTGCAAATGCAATTCCACTATTACCACTGCCGTATAGTGGATATTTTTAAGGAAAATATGTTGAATTTCTGAAAAGAAACAGGTTTCATAACAATATAAATCGCGACATTCTGTATATGCAATATTTTCCGTTTCAGGACTACAAGCTGAAACATATGGCGGAAATGCAACAATCCGTTGTAGGTGAGACAGATGCGCGACAACAGCTGGCCAATCAAGTGTTGCAGTGGGAAGAAAATCTGGAAAGGTTGCACTGCGAACAGTTTCGTCTTCGATGTTACATGGCGAGCTTGCAGAGCGGCGAACTGCCCAATCCTAAAGTGAGTTCAAAGAAAGCCAGAGAGGCAAAATCACTTCCTGTAACCTAAAGCATATCAAATGCATTCATTGCTTCTACGAAAATACATTACAACACCATGAGGTATATCTAAACTAATGGCTGGTTACACGTTAGTAATAAGGAAATTAAAACACAAAATATATTGATATATTCTGTTGTACTGCATGCTGTATAATTGTAATTATATTAAGTGTAGTTTGAATCTGTGCTGTCACTATCATCCACTGAATAGTTTAACTTTGTTCCAAGTTTTATATAATTATTTTCCGCTTTAAGAACACGATTAGCACATTCTCTCCAACTATTCTCTGGTATTAATTCACACTGAGTATTAATTACATCAATTACATTCGCAGACATTTTTCGGTTTTTAGTATGGATTCCAACTTAATTTTTCAATCGGCACATATCATATCTATAGGACTTTTATAGGGTTTTTTATAAGCTCGTCCGCGAAATAAATTTTATCATCTAGTAGGTTCTTAAAATTTTAACTAGTTTTTGTATAAGTGTCTTCAAACTAATGGTCATGCTGACTAAGGAGTCCTGACAAATACTTTTTTTGCTGCTGATCGTCGGTACTTTTTAGCTAAATTGCTGCGAAAACTAGTATCGCCATAAACTGTTACGCTGCCTGGTGAGATATAAGAAGAGAATTTTTTACCCAATTTTCACACCTAATATGCATTTTGTTTTTTTTACGAAGAATTTAAGAATTTGACTTAAATATGTTTTTAAATGCAACTACGCTTGTCAATGTTTTTTAATCTCAATCCGATTAATTTTTCAAATAAACTTCCACAGGCTACTGTAATATTATTTACAAAATTTCTGGATTCCTCCTGCGTCAGTTTTTGTTGAATTGAAATTTCTAACCTTTCACCAATCATCCTGATGGCTTCTTCAGAGTTTAACTGAAACTGGCTCGCATTCTACTCTGTTCCTGCTTATATATGAACATGAACATTGTCTCGGATCACTAATTTCCATATTAGTGACACCGTGAGTCCCGGATAAGATTGTTTGGTTGCTTATAAAACACTTATAATCTCTAATGTGGAAATTATTATTATGATTATTATTATTATCTGCTATTTTCATGAACAATTTCCACATTAATGATATTAAGCATACCATTAAAGAATATACTTGACAACAACCTTCCACAGACACTTCCACAAAAATCTCTTCGATCCGTCAAAGACAAAATCCCGTTTGAGACACCAGGAGTTTACAGACCGAACGAAAAATGTCAACTAGGCTCAAATAACATGAAAGAACCTTAAGACTAAGACAAATAAACTCATCAAAATTTTATTCGATAAAATTAAAATTCTTGCATGTAATCAAATCTTTCTACCAACAAAAAATATGGGAATCAGTCATCCGAGACAATGTTCATGTCCCTCCTTTAGCTCCGCCCCCCACCCCTCACCCAATATATAAGCAGGTATAGAGTAGAATGCGATCCAAAATTAGTTAAGCTCTGAAGAACCCAATTGGCGAAACGTCAGCAACTTTAATTCAACAACAACCGATGCAGGAGGAATCCAGAAGTTTTGTAAGTGAAGCGAATCTACTCTGCATCACCGTTCCTAAACACTTTTATTATGTCTTTGCCACATCGCTCTTCCTTTTGTAGTGAATCATTATCAAGGAATATACCGAGATTGAGCTTAGAATGCCAGTTACTTCCACTGTCATTGTCATTTAAAGACAACTTTTGTGCCTTCTGACATTTTCAGGAGGACCTACTATCGGATTTCTTTGTTATGTTGACTGATGTTGTTTGAAGGAGTTTTTTAAAGTTTCTTCAGCTCACTTTCTAAACATGACAAAAAATGACGGTAACACGACGAATTTCAAGAGGTTTTTAAAATTTCTGGGCTGTGGACACTACTAAAATTAAAATACCCCCATTGTAAATCGACTTGGTTTATTGCTTGGTTTATTGCTCGGTTTATTGAGGGTAAAATGCCTTCTGTTTATTATAGGCCAGACAAGTCATGACTATTTTTCGTGTGCTGAACTATACTATACTGATTACATATAGCGTGTCCCAGGTTTTAAAGCACAAACTGTGTGGCTATTGATACATTGACGTTTTAGGAATACAGGTTTGTTTATGCATCCAAACTTTTACATTGTACTCCTCTGGGACCTTCCAGTTACCAATTTGGGTGGTTCTTTCATTTTGCAAAAATAAAATTTAAGGGAAAATGAAAATGATATAGAACGCATATGATTTTGGTTCAGAATTTCTGTTTGTAGCTTTAAATCCGAATCATTAATAATAGTGTATTTTGGGACGAGGATGATGATGGGATATATGTTAGGGATAAACAAATGTTGAGTAACATACAGCAGATATAGACCCTCTAGCTATTGCTTGTTAGAATGAGTTGGGAGTAGTTCATTTTTCCTCATTTCTTGAATCACCGTATCATCCTCAAGAAAGGAAAGCTAACGCCTGAAACCACTGTTTTTCCCTTTGGGCCCAGTTATACTTTGTACCCACATTATTGTCATTACTTACCAGATGGTACTGGCGACCAGAACAAATTTTAGGAAAACGGCTGTTGTGGATACTAAGAAGTTTCGATAAAAAATCTATCCAAAAGTTAAATATAATAATAAGGTATATATGAACACTAAGCACGAGCAGTGATACCTTTATTAGTTAATTTCTGCTATGAAGATAACCTCTTGAAATTCCGTTTGCATATGAAGTCGTTAAGAGTAAAAAAAGTGTTTTCGTCATGTCGGCGTATTATTGAGTATGATGGATGAATGATTAAAACGTCGGTGTCGCTTTCAACTGTCGCTCCACTTAGAGCGAAAACGTGAACTGCTATAAAAGTTGTTGAAATGTTGACACCCGACGGCATCGATGAATTTTCTTTTGACTATCCGTAGTTTCAGTCTAAAACACAAACACGGGCACATACCCGTTAAGGGTCGTTAGCCACAAGTAAGGCGATCTATTAAGGGGGACGATGGGACACCACAGAGGGGGACGAATTAAATTACGTCGTTTCGTGGGGATGGGATTTTATTTCGCGCAGCAAACCGCTCAAGTTTCTTAATTAGCTGCGGTTCAGCTGATTTGAATCTAAAACTTGCAATCTCATTACGCCTGTACCCCAACTAAGAAAAGGACGCATTCCACTTAGCTATTTAGTGTTACCAAGTGCCATTGTTTAGTTAAACTAGTTTACTTTATCGGAATTAAAAGTTAAAAGAATGTACAGGAACGCTATGGGCGAGCAAAGGCGAAAGAAAATGAGATTTTCGAAAGTGATTTCGGTTTAATGAAAAAAATATAATTCACTCGCCTTAATGTGAACTTAAAAAAATTTACCGCATTCGTATTAATATTTAATAATAAAAAAAGTAAATTTAATTTCGAATTTGTTTTGGTCGTTTTGATTTTCTGCTGTAGCTGTTTCTTGTAAATCTTCCAAAACTATTATTATACTGACATCGATGTAGTTCTATTAACCCCATTGAAAAACTAGACTTAATAATGAAGTCTTCATTCCAATCCTCATCATTTTCGGCACAATATTCAGGCTTAAAAATTAATTGGTGCTACTGCATAAAATAGTCTATCAAATGTGCCCTTAATTAGAGATTCTGACTTTTCGCCCTTCCCAATTTTATAAAGTCTTCCCCTCCGCAGGCTATATGCAAGCATACAACTGCATCTTTTGAGTTAATTACCATAAATGCTTCTGCGATTTCTTGACCGTTAGATAAGACTTTCCAATAATGTTGCTTAGTGAGATGTAACACATTCTGATATAAAGGTTGAATAAGTGATGTTACATTTCGTGGCATAGGCATAGTAAATGTGGCACCGTCAGCTGTTTTTAATTCTTCGAACTGTGGATGTGAATACCCATAATCTAAAAAGAGGATAGCTTTCTCAGGTAAATATTTTTCTCACAGGAATTTCTGGTCCTACAAACAACGAAATGAATGAATGAATGAAAATACAGTTTATACGTGTGGTATCTTTAATCTTTAAAAATCTCCTTGGTAAGTCAAAATCCAATATTATTTACTAAGACGCGGCTAACGAACTATAAATGAGGTCTTGGCATCTTCATAACGTTGTGTAGGACCCGATTGCCCTGCATGCAGTTTGAATACCTGACGATCGCAAAACGGGCTACGGAGGGGGATTTAATGCCTTTAATGCCGAATTCCAAATGGGTGAGAGATAGAGGTACATCTATTATCCAATAAAATCTGGTGTCCTGTCTCATGATGATGTTCAGAAGCTGTTGATATCTTTAAGTGGCCAAGTCTGATCTCTGGTATTCTTTTTGGATTGATTAAGAAGGGGGGGGGGGGTTGATTAGATAACAGAAACATGCTCTACACGTATCGCACAAAATGAGAAAGTTATACAGGTAAGTTTTCGGATTTTAAGATGACTTACATGACGAATAGTGTTTTAGGAACAGGAACTTTAACAAAAGGAAATTTAATGTTAAAGTTAATTAGAATATCGTCGGGATTTAACGTAATATTGCTTAGTTCTTGAATGTGAATAGCTTCAAAATGGAGGCTAGGTATTTTGAGAAAGGATATTTTGGCGCATCGATTGTGCTAAGGATAGGTTGAAAAGGGGTAGACTTGTTTTTGGATTTCTTTTAAGAACGTAAAGTCAAGAAACTTTAGGATCATGATGCGTGACTGCCTTTTCTTGTTGGTTGGTTTTCTTTAGAATTCATGGCAATAGTGTAGGATTTTTTCATTTCCAACGAAATCATATTAAATGTTAAGGAAACACTGAAGCGTCAATATTCTTAAATAATATACAATATACAATATGAATACATCTTCTGGGAAAGTTGAGTTTTGTAGAAGGAAAGTGTGCAGTCAGAGTTCTTCTCAAGGAGGCTACATATTCTTTGCATAAGAAATTATGTAGATGTACGAATGCCTAGAGTATCAAAATTCGACATGCAGAAAATCCTAGCATGCTGCTTGGGAATGCACCTAATTTCTTTCTGGGTCTTGAAAGTGTTGAAATGAAATCCAAGACGGAACGCAAGAAAAATAGATTTTCTCCATGAAAAGCGAGTCACTAAACTTCTGTCAACTAAGTAAGGAGTCAATAATAACTCCAACTGATGACTTCTCAAAAACAATGAGACCTATCTTATCACTTTTCCATCAGCTCTGTGGCACCAGCACTGTATCATCAGCGTACTGAAAAAAGAACCCCGAAGCGAATTCATCTGAAAGCTCATCTACGTAGAGAAAACAAAGACCACGTGGCCCATTATGGAGCCCTGTTCGGTCCTTATCAATTTGGAAATATTTTGTGAACCATTTTTAGTGATTAAGTATATTATCAATACACGAAACTCAGATTTTGGAATGATTGGTTTGCGAGGCTTAGCTTTTTAAAGAATATTGGTTGTTTCAACACGAATCTCCAACTGGATTCGATTTTTGGTTAATTTTCTTTTTCGAGGATGACATGAAGAACGAAATTTGGACTTTTTGCATTTGGATTTGGAAGGAGGGTGTTATGATATATTTTTAAGGTTTAGGGTAGATTTAGTGTTTTCGATTTGCAGGAAATCCTGGGATGTGATCTTGTAGTTTCGCAGATATAAGTTATACAGTGTATAAGTATGCGGAAGTTTTCTAAGAAAATGGAGATTCGGTTTTTGTAAATTACCAAAAAAAACCTGGGCGTAAACAACCCGTTCAACTAATTTACCAGCAGTAAATTTTTTGAGCCAGAAATTAAATGTAGAAGGTTTTCGCTCCAAGTCTCTCGCGTCTGCCATTCGACTTAATAAAAAGCGAATCTTCATTAAAAACTAATTTTGATCGTTTTGTTTGTTCCAGTCCCTGTTGACGCACGTGTCGAGAGCAACGAAAAATACACTGAATAAGTTAGGGGTGTTCACTGTGTCCTCTTTCCACGCTTTCATATGCGCACGAAGTCCATCTCTGCTCAACAATCTGCTAGCAGGCAGGGGAGCGACCAAGCGACGTCCGCCGCTGTTGTCCAGATCTAACAGCGGCTCGAGCAGAAGATCCCTGCAGGTAATTAATCTCTTCATCAGATTTTTTTATTTGTTGCATCATGCCATTTCAAATTTCGTTTTAAAGTTAAAAAAAACGGCGACCTTGCAAACTGACCAATGCAATAAATACCAGTTTCTTACTTTTGTTTTTTTTGGAAATTAAATTATCAAATTTTGCTTATATTAAATAAAACTCAGTCTGCCAAATTCCAGCTGGTCTCACACCGAAGTTATAGGAACTTTTAACAAAACCTTTATTTTGGTAAGTTTTGGTTCAAAGATAAATCGAGTAGGAAAAAGCGTACACCGTGTGCCAAATCAAACGACCCACTATACCCATCTGGAAACCCATAGGAAATACGAAAAAAAGTTTTTTAGAAAAGTTTTTTGGAATATCCTGAAGATTTAAAACATTATAATTTTGTTGATACAGGGTGTCCCAAAACTGTTCCCTCCGACATCATCTTTGTTATTTTCAATTGAACACCCTGTATATATCGCCATTTTTTTAATCCTTGGTTAAGAATTCCTATTCGAATTTTGCATAGTTTAGGCAGAAATTGAGGTTATGTGTTTTTTTTTTCATATTTTGATTGCCCCATGTAATATTGTGTTGTGACGCTACTGATCCAGGTATTGCAACGAAAATTTAACGACAGGCTAAGGAGACGATGCACTACTCAATCAGTTTGACAGATGCTCCTCAGCTTATATAGGATGTCCCAAATAGGTGGTGAATTTAATTAACAAAATCTCAATATATTCAAATAGAATACCATATATTTTTATTCAGATGTCAATTCTAAGCCAAAAAACAAGGCATGTTTGTAATTTATCTTATATTTAAATTTTACTTACTTTTTCAGATATTCGACGTTTAAAATAACACCCATATATATTCTTGTTGAATTTAAAGCTGCCCACTTTAGGTCACTTGTTGGCAATTTTAGGTATTTTTTAAATAGCAAAGACACGATACTACTTATTTTGAAGATATAATACTCAGTATGTCCATTAATACGTGGAGACTTTGAGAAACATCGACTCTATACTGCACACTTTAACAGATTTAATAAAACTTCAGAATTCTTATTTAAAGAAAAATTTAATAGTTAAATATAAAGTATTTAATACCTAATAACAAAAATAAATAATTAAAGTTTATAGGTTAACCAAAAAACTATATCTAATTTAATATATAAATAAAATACATACTAACAAAAAACTTGACAACTATGAATTTTTTAAATGGAAAAATGGAAAACAAAAAAAAAAACAAACCGAAATGTCAAAGTTTGTTTATACCATAATGCGTCAGAGAAAGGAGATTATGATGCCAAAGCTAACTACATTTTTAAATATTTTGATATTTCTTTATTGTTTTGATGCCAGATGAAACGAGCATGTTAAGAAAAACATTTTTAACTAAACTTTATGGACCAAATTAACGAACACTTTTTAGTTAACTTTTTTTATAGTTTTATTTATTCAAATTTGTTACCTTGGTTAGTTGCCTATAAACTTTTATTACTTATTTTTGTTATTTGCTATTTTCAATCACGCGACATTAAATTAAGATGAAATGTTTCTTTAAATATGAATTCTGAAGTTTTATTAAATCTTTATTGTAAGCAATAGGTTTTATTAGTATATCTGCAGTATTATATCTTTAAAAGAAGTAGTATCGTGTCTTTCCAATTTAAGAGATATAAAATATTGCCAACAAGTGACCTAATGTGCGCAGCTTTAAATTCAACCACAATTTATACGGGTGTTGCCTTAAATCTCGAATATGTCAAAAAGTAAATAAAATTTAAATATAAGATAATTAACAAACTTAGCTTATTTTTTATCCTAGAATTAATATCTGAGTAAAAATATTGCGTGTTCCATTTGAAAATCTTAAGATTTTGTTAATTAAATTCGCCAAGACGGCACCACCTATTTGGGGCACCCTGCATAAGCTGTCGCGCATCTATCAAACTTGAGTAGTGTATCATCTCCTTAGTCTGTGGTGAAATTTTTGTTGCAATACCGGGATCAGTAGCGCCCCAACACAACTTTATATGGGGCAATATGGGCAATCAAAACACATAACCTCAATTTCTGCCTAAACTATGCAAAATTCGAATAGGAATTTCTTAAGAAAGTGACCTTTATTTTAACCAAGGATTAAAATAAAACTCAACTGAATTCTCGGTATCTTAGTCAAAACTTGAAATATTTTTAACTTTTTTTTTTTAATTATGAGGTGCGGGTACAAACTAGTGATACTGGAATTTTGTTCAGAATACTTATCTGGTACTTCTTTAAATACAGGGTTTCCAAATATCGTGTCAAAGTAATATATGTCCTTTATTATTTGCTTTACAGAAAAATATTAATTACAAAATTTATAGATGAGACTAAGAGAAACAATTTAAAATTATTTTCAAATTTACAGGGCGATTCATAAATATGTGCTATATCAAACTAATGTTTTTTAAGGAAACACTCTATATATTATGGCATTAATAGATAACTTTTTTAATAGTCAACCAATACTCAATGTAGTGTTGTTGTAGTCTATAATGGACGTTTTCGGATTTATGGCCAGTATTTCGTAAAAAATATTTGTGTTTACCCTACACAGGGTGAATCAAAATGAAAAATATTAATTTTCGTGAAAAAATACCCTTTATGATATAGTGCATTAATAATAATAATAATAATAATAATAATAATAATCATAATAATCATAATAATAATCGCCCAGAACGTTGAAAAACATGTAACTGAGAATGAAATCCTAGCAGCAGAACAGCTTGGTTATAAGAAAAGGACACAAGGCACAAAACAACTGCTTATCACTGACGCAGTAATTACAAACCAAGCTAGAACCAAGCAGAGGAACCTATCGGTCGCCTGGGTAGATTACAAAAAAGTGTTCTACTCGCCACATAGCAGGCTGACAAGTATTCTTGGCAGTTATGAGATTGATCTCGCTACAGCCAAACTACTCCAACACATAATGCGGAAATGGAAAACAAGATTAAGAGTTCGCAACCAACAGCATGAATATCTGACCCAGCACCTACAAATAAAAAGGGGAATCTTCCAGGGCGATAGTATGTGCCCACTCTAGTTTTGTCTAGTCCTGAACCGACTTAGTTATTTGTTGAACCGAAGCCCATACGGCTACAGAATTGATGCACCGCGCAGGCAAAAACTATCTCATGCATTGTACATGGACAACCTTAAATGTTATGGAAGCAACAACGAGCAACTTCACAACTAAATGGAAATTGTGGCCGGCTTTAGCAGGCCTATAGGGATGGAGTTTGGACTGCCAAAATGTGTGGTTCTTCACATAAAGAAAGGATGCCCGCTTGCGAGAGAGACAATGAGGCTCATGGATGAAGTCGAAATAAACCACCCACCAGCGGAAGAAAATTAGAAGTATCTTGGACTACAGCAAGCATTGGGCATCAACACAAAACTGATGAAGGAAAATATAAAAACGAAGTTCAGAAGGAGACTTCAACTCAATGCAAAAAATGCTTTCTCCGTCATTAATTCCTGGACTATGCCAGTGGTGGAGTTCACATTTGGGGTTCTAAAATGGACCGATACTGACCTGCAAGAAATTGATAGGTTAGTACGCACAACACTTACCTCATATAGAAGCCATCATCCGAATTTCTCTACCACGCGACTATATATCACTAGGCAGAATGGTGGACGAGGTCTCTTCTGTCTGCGAGCGCGTCACCTAAAACAAAAAGAAAAACTGGTAAAATATTTCAAGAGCTCCAACTTACCTATTCGTGATGCAATAATGCGGTCAGACAAAAACTTCACTGCCCTCAATTTGGCCAACTATATAGCGTTTGCTGCCTCTAATCAGGAGAAAGAAAGGATTCAAGAATGGCTAAGTAAAGAAATCCACAGCTGTACTTCGCAGTGATGCCATCGACAGGAAATTGTCTTGCACATACTTACTCCAGGATCGACTGAATCGGGAAATGGAGGGAGCCATATCCAGGTTGTTCTAACAAGGTACTATATCCGACATGTCCTGAATCAAAACGTCCCAAGCGATTTGTGCAGAGTGTGCAATCAGAAACCTGAAACCATACCGCATATTATTGGCGCATGTAGCGTAATTACTCCAAAAGAATACTTGAATAGGCATAATGACAACGAAAATCGGACATAGTAACATCTGCTACAAAAATAATTCGATTTAGGACATTTTGCTGTATTAAAAGTATATCCCCAACCCAGTGATAGAGAATGGTTCCGCTAAAGTTTACTGGGATACAATGATCGTAACTGATAGACTAATACAGCATAACAAACCGTACATTCTGTATATCAACAAAAATGAAAAATTGGCCTTTATCATAGATTTTGCTGTATCAGCAGAAAACAACATACAGAAAGCCTACACTCAACTCAAATTACAAAATATCAGGAGCTAAAAAGGAATTACTCACTTCAAACAATCGAAGTATTACCACTAATTCTCTCGGCGACTGGCCTTGTTGAAAAGCAACTAGCGAGAAACCTTGAAAAACCCGATCTTAGTCACGATCTGATGGGAGTCTTGCATAAGCCCGTGATACTAAGAACCTGTCGTCTTGTCCGTCGTTACGTGTTGCATGAAGGGTAACCTTGACTTCGGTCCGGTTAGCCCTTGAAGGTGATACAAAAAAAAAAGACTTTAGACTTTACTATAAAGATTACAAGAACAAGTGGTAAGTCACATCTGTTAATGAAACTAAATTAACGCAAGATCAAACACATTCTAATCAAATTCATAGAGAGCATCATAATTATCAGTAAACATTGAAACGAGAATTAGCTACAAAAATTCCTATTAATATTATGGAGACACTCGTGACGCAACACGGATATACTCATCTGCAGTATAAAATGTATTCTGCAATAGAATTGAGGTAGCAGCGTATTTTTGAGTATTTGAGGTCGGGGGCGGACCCGACCCGGACGCCCCGAAAGCCCTATACTCAGAGCACG